TCAGCACAATGCATGGCAACGGAAGACAGCAATGAACACTCTGTCTGACCGTGCTTGGTGTAGGTGGTTAGTATGTGGAGTGTGGTCCTTGATGATTTCTCCCTTGTCAACTGCTCTACCCCCTAGCTTTTGATACAGAGATTTAAAGGGCTACAATCTATTGATTGTGAGGCAGCTAGTGGGGAAAAGGCAGGAGTTTGAGGAAATATGGAAAATGTCCTGTTTTTGCTTTATGGAAGCTTTGAGTTAGCTGGGTTATTATTCACCCTCATTCTTTTTGACTATTTTTCCATGATTTCATCTGCTTGTTCTTTACTCTGAATTTACATTAAAAGTACAATCTGTTTTAGATGAATTTTAATTGTTGGAGAATTATTCAGTCTGCAAATTAAACTGGCAAGAGATTGGAAACAAACTGTTCTTCGTTTACAGCTGTGATCCTCAAGTCTCTATCTGCATGTTGCAAAAATTGAGGTGAAGGCAGGAAAGAAAGCAAATGATGATAATTTTCTGTGAGCAGGGAATAAGTACTTTCTTTTTTTTTTAAAGATTTATTTTTATTATTTTTTCATTGGAAAGGCGGATATACAGAGAGGAGAGACAGAGAGGAAGATCTTCCGTCCGATGATTCACTCCCTAAGTGAGCGCAACGGCCCATGCTATGCCGATCCGAAGCCAGGAGCCTCTTCTGCGTCTCCCACGTGGGTGCAGGGTGCCAAAGCTTTGGGCCGTCCTTGACTGCTTTCCCGGGCCACAGGCAGGGAGCTGGAAGGGAAGCGGGGCTGCCGGGATTAGAACCGGCGCCCATATGGGATCCCGGTTGTGCAAGGCGAGGACCTTAACCACTGCGCCACCGTGCCGGGCCCACGGAATAAGTACTTTCATTAAAAATGAACAATATTTAGGCCAAGGTTAAATGTACAGAAAAAGCTGTGAAAATAGTTTCGACAATTAGTATTACTCTATATTTCTGCAATACATTTGTTGCTGTTGATCAGCCAATATTGATACACTATTTTTTAAAATGTTTGCTTATTTTGCTTGAAAGGCAGAGTTACAGAGGGAGGCAGAGACACAAAAAGGTATTCTACACCAAACAAACAATTGGGACTACATCACACTAACAAGCTTTTGTGGCATCAACAACAAAGCAAAGAAGCAATTGACAAGAGAAGAAAATCATTGCACACCAGACAACAGATAGGGGACTGATATTCAAAAAGAGCTTCAGAAACTCAAAAACAACAAATCTCCCATCCAAGTACTAACCAGGCCCAACCCTTCTTGGCTTCCGAGATCAGATGAGATCAGGCGCATTCAGGGTGGTATGGCCTCACCAAGGACTATCAGTACGGACACCAAGGACTACATCCCAACTGCCAAGGAGACCATGGGGAATAAGGAGTGCTTCGGAGGCCAAAACTCTGAGGTCACCCACCCCCATTTGGAACTTCCACAGGGGATGGAAGAAGTCCAAACTCTGCCGTGCAGAAACCAGCGTCATCGGAATGACAACCAGGAGCCCTGAGCGGTCTGCAGAAATGGAAGAATAATAAACTTCCTTTGGAACTAGGGAGGCGAGCTTTCTCTGGTCCTCTCCTAGCTCTGGCACTGGGTCCCCACCCTCTCTCACAATGACCATTAGGATCACTCCAGAAACCCCTCAAAACAAACGATCAAACATACAAACAAAAAAACCTAGAATGGACAGACAACAACAAGGAAAGCTTAGAATCAGACAGGAAATGGTCAGCATAGATTCACTCATACCTTACTAGGTGGGACACAAAGATTAGTTACACCTCACTGGGGTATTGGGGATTTCTCTGCACATCCCTCCTAAAAAAAAAAAAAAAAGGTTCTGTACCTAAACTGATGACACATGTCTTACTAGAGTTATAAGCCAGTTCAGACCATCCGAAAAACAGCCAATTCAGCAAAATCATGCTTCAACACTATAAACAGCTAAATACTAAAATGAAAATGAAAAGAGACACGAGACAGCTGAATAGTAATCTATAGCCATTTTCAGGTATGTAGAACCTAGTTGAATGTAAACCAAAATTGAAATGTCTATGAAGAAGTCACAGGATGCAGTTAAGAACCTGCATTTTCCTATTAATGTATTGGTTAATTAATACCATGTCAATTAATGCCATAATGCTGTAAATTGTTGTTGATGTTATGTTGGGGCTTTTAATTGATTGGGACGATACTTTGCCAGCTTTACCTTCAGACCAGAGATAGTCTCACCAAGAAATCATTGAACCCACTAGGATAATAAGATGCTGGACTTTATGCTTGGTGAATACTTCCAATGAAAGAACCTCAACTGAATTTGGACCGTGGTAATGCAGCAAGGTGGAGAAATCCACCATGGGGAGAGGGTTCTGGGAGGGGTAGGGGGAATCCCAGTGCCTATAACACTGTGTCACATAATGCAATGCAATTAAAAAAAAAAAGTAAATCAACCCTGTTTAGAATTGGGCAATTAGCAGGCATTGTTCAAAAGAGCAAATTTAAGTGGTTAATAGACACACAGGAAAAACTGTTCAGGCCCTCTAGCTGTTAGCAAAATATAAATAAAAAAATCCCATTGAAGGGCCCGACACGATAGCATAGTAAGTGGTTAAGGTCCTCACCTTGAATGTGCCAGCATCCCGTATGGACACTGGTTCTAATCCCAGCCACGCTGCTTCCCATCCTGCTCCCTGCCTGTGGCCTGGGAATGCAGTCAAGAATGTCCCAAGAATTTGGGACTCTGCACCCACGTGGAGGCGTATCCTGGCTTCAGATTGGCTCAGCTCCAGCCATTGCAGCTCCTTGGGGAGTGAGCCATTGGATGGAAGATCTTCCTCTCTGTCTCTCCTCTCTGTATATTCACCTTTCCAATAAAAAACTTACAAAAAATCTTAAAAAAAAATATTATTGAGGTTCCAGTAACTCCAGAGAGAATGGCGTGCAAACAAAGCTCTTCTAACAACACCTGCCTGCTTGTGAGAAAGCAGGGGAGAGGTATGCTATTCCACTGTTGATGGCAGTGAACGTAAGTGCAGAATGGAGAGTACTCAGACAACTAAAAACTGATCTAACGAGACCCAGCTCTCCCACTCCTGGGAATACAGCCAAAGAAACTGAGATCTGCGTGTGAGAGAGACCTGCAGCCCTGAATTTATGGCCTCACAGTTCATAATAGTGAAGACAGGGAACCATCAGAGATGCCTATAGAAAAAAGAATGGATGCACCGATTCCATGGAATAGCACACAACTATTTAGAAAGAATGAAATTCTACCATTTGCAATAACATGGTCCTAACTGGGCACCATTATGCTCAGCAAAATAAGCCAGTCCCATTAGGAAAAAGGCTCATGTTCCCTCTCAATTCAACAACGTTCCTGCTGCACATGAAATGAGTGGCTAGATTGGCAAACAGCTAGACACGCATCCTCACAGGACTGTGTATTTGAGACTGCCGTACTGAGAAGTGAAGGTTGGTGCAGCACACACCTCCCCTTCTCTCAGCCAGTCAGGTAACTGCACCATGACAACATGATCCTAGGCTTTCTCCCTTTGTCCCTACGATGCCACGATGCACTTAAATGGCATCATGATAAACTTGTAAGGGGAGGAGGAGGAGAGAGGAATACTTCCACCCACTAAACTGTAACACGGAAAATAGTAATAACAATATTAAATGTTTGTGACTTGTTTTCGCACTGTATTTGTTGGGAATAGTTAACTATGTTCAACTAACACTTAAGGATTGGGTAATTTTACATGGGAGTCTTATGACTTCTGTTTATTCAATATTTTATCTATATTAAAACAAATTCTAGTGTACAACTTTTACATTTTGAATTGTAACAACATACTGCTTCTGTTTTAAAAAAATATCTATACAAATTTTCTAACTTCAGCAATGGAAATTTTTTCAGTTAACTTCTATGACATATCTTCATCTGTTTGAGAAATATGAGCCCATTCTTGCTCAATTTTTTTTTTTTGTACTTTCTGGTGCTTAAAAGATATTTCAGATTTAGCTCATTTATTTCCAACCAGAACTTACAGTCATGTCTCCATGAGCTCCTTTATTTTTTTGGTGGAGGATGGTATGAAAACCTAAGATCTGAGTGCTATGCCTGTTTTTGGCTGCTAAGGTGTTATGGGTTCTAGTCTTTCATTTATGATGTTTTATTTTCTTCTATAAATAAAGGGGAATACAGCAATTCAAGTCTGTAACTGTGAACATTTGTGAATCTGTGAATCCATTTTTTTTTGTATAAAGCTGGCTGTCGCCCACACTGATGCCCACTGTCGAGCTGATCTTCCTTGAAAACCAAGTGATGCACAGCGTTGCCCTTTGAATTCACCGTGGGATAGCCTAAAAACTCCATCTAGCTCAGGATATCTCAAAGAGTAAATGCATTAGGATTCGCCAAGTGCTCTCGCCGCTGTTTCCTGCTCAGTACTGGTTTCTTTTGCATTAGCTTGCATTCCCGGTTGCTACAGAACTTTCAGTTTAATAACTCAGAAAATTGGCTACTTTGATCCTTGAACGCTTCTGATTCACCTGCAACTGTGGTACGTTCACGTTTACCATTCAGGTGGAACCCTTTGCTTTATGCTTCTTGTTAACATCCCACTGTTTTTTGAGTTTTTCATTCCTTTATTGTGGAGATTTAGTCCTTAGAAGGAGATTAGAGCAACTGTGGGCAATTTTGTACCCTAAACTTAGCAATATGAGGCCTTTTGTAAAGTTAACCTATTTTGCTGTGGGTTGTCTGAACTTTATTCCATATTAGAATGCAATCCTCCCTAAGAAAACTCATTTAAAAAATTTTTGCTGTGACAGAGAAGGAGAGAGGGAGAGAGAAAGAGATGTACTAGTTTATTCCATTAACGGTTGCAAAGCCTGGGGTCAGGCCAGGCTGAATCCAGGAGACAGGGACTCCATTTAGATCTGGAACAGAGTGGCAGGGATTCAGATACTTGGATGATCTTCCAATGCCTTCCCAATTGAGCTGTCTTAGCAGAGAGCTGAATCAGGAACAAAATACCTTGAACTCCACTGGATGTCTGACATGGGACGCTGGCATCAGAGGCAGAACTAAAGTTCTGACACATAGCTGAGGCTTTCTGTGAGGTTTTGTGTTTATGTTGCAACCATAACCTTGAACAAATTGGGTATATATTTACAAGTAGATATACTGAATCAAAATATTTATGTACTATGGTATTTTTTAGACTTGAGTAGAGCATTAAAATAATTTTTGCTTTTACAAATGTAATCTAATTTTGAAATTTATAAATAATTTTCAATATGAAATTCAAAGTTTGTTAAACAATAGTGGATAAAGGTACCCATTTCTCAACCCCCTTTATAAACAATTCCCCTGATGATATACATTTTTGCTTTCTCTGAGAGTATTTCAGAAATTTTGTAGGAAAAATGGAATCACAAGACAGAGCTCATTTCCGTGAAATGGTTGAAGCAAGGTCTTCTGTTAGACTATGAACACCCGCATTTCCACCAAAGGTTTGTGTTACCTCTGGTGTCCAGGCTAGCAAGCCTCTTCAGACTTCCACTTGCCACTTACCCTGTGTGCAAAAGTGTGTTCCCTGCCTCTCAAGAACCACGTGATTTCACATCTCTGTGTGTCATGTCATCAGGCCGTGCTGTAGCGGAAAATGCTTTGACCTCAAACAGGTTATGTTCAAACACTATTCACGCCATTCAGACTTTATGCAGTACTACGAAGTCCGGGGAGTGTAGCGTTGTCTTGCCCAATGTTAAGTGGAGTATGGTGATGCTGAAGCTATGACATTGTAAAATTTTCATGGAACCCCACACTAATGTTAGCATTTGTCACCAGAGACGTTTGTATGTGAGTCTATGCCTATTTTTTCCATTTGTTTAATTTCTATCATCCTCCAGGAATTACCACAATCTTCCCTCTTCCTCAGAGCAAACCACCCTTCCTTATCTCCTTCTCAGCCATGGGTTTTGTAATTATCTGTCTTGGTATGATGGTCTGTATCTCAGTTATCTTACAATCCCCCGTGTCTGCCCTTGTTGCTGACTGTGCTCGTCATTGGAACACTTATCAAAATAATGAATATTAATTCTATTGATAAGGACACTTAATTAAATAAGTTTACGTATTTTAACAGAAGAGCATATGCAAGTCTAATTACACATGAGCAGACATTACATATCTACCTCTAGTCTCTCTAGTCCCCGAGTGGCAGTCTGTGTGATGTTTTCACGGCCCACGCTGTGTCTCAAGTTGGGAATCTATGTGAGCTTTCTTGCTTCTCAGAGGTAGAATACATGTGTTGACACAAAGGCCTGGGAATCACATTAAATGTGATTTATTTTCAAATTCATCAGTATGCTGAGGTCTTAATGTCCATAAAAAAATGAAATTGAAGTCTCTATATAACCGATGCATGCAGAATTCCTTCAGTTTCAATCAACTCTTTTTTATTTGTTTTTAATTTTTATTGGAAAGGTGGATATACAGAGAGGAGAAGAGACAGAGAGGAAGATCTTCCATCCGATGATTCACTCCCCAAGTGAGCGCAACGGTCAATGCTATGCCAATCCAAAGCCAGGAGCCTCTTCCGGGTCTCCCACGCGGGTGCAGGTTCCCAAAGCTTTGGGCCGTCCTCTACTGCTTTCCCAGGCCACAGGCAGGGAGCTGGAAGGGAAGGGGGGCTGCCGGGATAGAACCAGCGCCCATATGGGATCCTAGGCGTGCTAGGTGAGGAGCTTAACCACTTGCGCCACCGCACTGGGCCCGAAGGTTTTCATTGTTACAGCTTAAATAATATTTATGTTTTCAAGCTACTAGAAGCTGGATCTGATGCCATTGTATGTATTTAAAATTTGTATCTGATTTGTTTCCATTAAAATATTGTGGGGTTTTTTTTTTAAGCACCAAATATTAGTCTAGAGACTTGAATTACAAAACAATAACTTTCATTCCTTTCCTTAAAGATCTTGTAGTCCACTAAATAAAATGTGTTGGATTCTCTTGCTACAATGCCATAAATTAATCCATGTGAAATAAATACAAGTACCTATCCTATGGGAATTTAGTGCAAAGAGTGTTAGGGATGTCTGAGCTTGGAGTGACTCTTTGGAGTGTGTTGATGAAGATGTGGAAGAGAAGGGAAGGAGATTGGAAGGAAGATGAAGCAGAACACACAGCAACACACCCACACACATAGAGAAACACACACACAGCAACACATACAGCAATACACACACACAGAGCAGCACACAGCAATACACACACACATAGCAACACACAGAAATACACAGCAACACACAGAAATACACAGCAACACACATAGAGCAACACACACACGCAGAGCAACTCACACACACATGCACACAACAATATACACACAGCAATACACACACAGAGCAACACACACACATAGCAACACACAGCAATACACAGCAATACACACACACAGCAACACACAGAGCAACACACACAGCAACACACACACGCACACATGCACACAGCAATATACACAAAGCAACACATGCACAGCAACACACACACACAGCATCGCAAGGCAGTAGATTATTTGAAGTATCCACAAAAACAAGATGATTGGAATGATGGAAGCAAAAGGGCATGGGAAAACTGGCAGCAGAAAAATAAAGCAGAGATGTAAGGCAGAGAATAAACATCCTCACAGGAGCCTAAAGTGAGCTTCATGTGTAAAGCAAATTCATTAAAGAGTTTAATTAGGGGAGTCAGTTGGTGAGATCCATAATTCTGAAATATTAGTATGTCCTTCAATGTTCCTTAAAGGTATTTTGCTTTGTGGCACAAAACTATAGGTAGGATAGATTTAACCTTAGTTTTTTCTAAATTCAATTAAATATTATATTTTATTTACCAGCCATATCAACTAGTATCAATAGGGAACACACTGAGATTCCATTTACAACAGGAACAAAAATAAGTAAAATATGTTAGAAGAAATGTGACCAGGGATGTGAAAGACCTCTACAATGAAAACTATTGAATACTGACGAAAGAGCACAAAGGCATATAAAAGTGGAAAAAACCATCCATGTTTATATATTGAAATAATAAATAGTATTAAAATGTCCAAACTAATGAAAGCAATTTTTCAGATTTAATGCAATTCCCATGAAAATACTAGTGATCTTCTTCACAGAACCAGAAAAAAAAAAAAGCCCATGTACAGTCAACTAATGCTTGATAGAGCTGCCAAAAATATGCATTAAATAAAGCATCATTTCTTCAATAAACACTGCTGGGAACACTGCGTATGGTAAGACAATTGAAATTTGACTCCACCCCCACACCACCAAACCCTCACTGTCTAGAAAAAATACCTAAAAGTTGGACACCCAAATGTAAAACCTTATGATGAGATTACTTTCCAAAGATTGGATAGACACTGCATGAGATCAGCATTTGCACCACATTTTTCTATAAGAATTCCAAAGCACAAAGAAAATAAAATTAGACAAATGTGATTTTTTAACTTCAAACTAGGAACTTCTAAACAGCAAAGGGTATAACCAAAAGAACAATAAAGAGAGAGCAAAAAGACTGAGAGAAGATATTGGCCAACTGTTGAGTTGACGACACACCAAGTAGAAGCAGGATGGACTGGTGAAGTTATATGGAAGCAGGGCTTCCCAGTATCCCACAGAAAAGGGGGCAACTACAACTAAAAATAATGTATTATTTTCCAAATAAAGATACGGAGGATAGGAGCTAATAGTCCTGAAACATAATTGAAACATGAGAAAATGCTAGTTATCTGATTTTGTCAGCTTATACTGTATACATGCATGAAAATATTCTATGGTTCCTTTAATATACATATATTACATATTAACGCAAATTTACAAGAAAATTATTATAAGTGAGCAAAGACAGCATATAATGATCCTTTGCAACCTGACTCTTGGAGATAAACAGATTCTTTATCCAGTTGCTGTCTTCCGTTTGAATAGCATGTTAACCTTCAGTCTACGGCCATACCACCCTGAACGCGCCCGATCTCGTCTGATCTCAGAAGCTAAGCAGGGTCGGGCCTGGTCAGTACTTGGATGGGAGACCATGTTTGCCTTCAGAGGATACCTCCTGCCTCCAGGTCTAGCAGATGGCTGCTTTCAGTTTACCTGTCAAACACTTAACTAAAACAGACTGGAGCAAAAGGACGCTTTCTTCACCTAAGGAAAATAACTTACCTGTATACTTACTGTGTCTCTTTAGCTAGAACTACACCATATTATTACCTCTAGAATAATCCCTAGACAAATTATGATTGATAGTGTGGCTACATAAAAGTACTGTGTGAAAGAATTCTGGTAGTAATAAAAAGAGGAGAGGCCTTGATTTGAGGTAATAATTAACATTCCCCAACATGCCAATTTGTGGCTAGAATAGAAATAGAGCTACTTGATCCAACAGGTCACCTATGCAACCTTTGTAATAGCTTTTGATTTTGAATTTAAATTCCTAGCTGACCTGTTTGACTCCTAGAATGTTACTGAACTTTCAAAGTTTCCCTGATTAAACACCTGTGTTTCACCTTCCTTCAGTTCATTCAGTTCCTCCTTCTAAAGCTGCTGCCTCTTTATAATCCATAGCGCCCGGTACCCTTTTCATCATCAGCTCTTTGAAAGCCTGTCATTGGCCTCCCATTTTACTTAACCACCAAAAGTGATTACACATGTTTTATTAGGAGTTTTTTAAAATTTCATTTTTGATGATGTTTACATAGCTGATCAGAGTGGGAAGGTTTGAGAAACAGGGGAAAGTGGGCACGGCCGTTGTTCACACATTTTCTTCTTCCTGTATCTGGGAGAAGGGAAAATACAAGAGGGGAAACCACACAGAGCCTCCCGACCACCTCAGTACCAGGGGATGGAGAATGGGTGGAGAACAGCCACCTGATGTCATCCCAGGGTCTCCAAGGTGAAGCATGTTCTGAGGGTTCTGCTCAAGTGATTTTGATAGTTCTGCAATGGTGTTGACCTTGCTGCTCCAAGGATGAGGAAATCCTCCCAAAGTCAATTGGCTGACATTGTTCATCTCAAAGTCTTTGTTCACCCAGAAATTTGCTGTCAAGTTTCGCTGGGCTGGTTCACCAATTTGTTCTGCCCTCCTTCCTCTGCTTCCTCTATTCAAACCAAGGGTGGTTTGACCAAGTCCAGTCATGCCCATCATACACTGAACCATCATGTACACCGGGGGAGTGCAGCCCAGTAAGAGAAACTCCCAATAGCCCCCACTGGACTGGCCCCCAGCCCTAGATCCTGTGCCTACTGGTTGTAAAGTCTGTCCCATAACCCATTCAGATCTTGTACACATAATTGAGCATTGAAGCCTAACTCAGCCAAACGGATTCCTCATTCCAGCCCACACTCAGGCCAAGTGGGTGCCACCACCTGTTTATCCAGGTGTCTGCAATCTCCCCTGTTCTGCACTCCATCCTGGTTCTCAGATCTGCTAGTTGGTGTTATGAACTGACTCAGCCTGGCCTGTCTCCAGACCTAAGCCACATGTATGCTGGCGGGTACTATAACCTGGTCTGGTCTAGGGGTGCTCCTTGCCTTGGTTCTTGCACTCACCTGCAGGGACTGCATCTTGACAAAGGAATTCCCTAAATACCTCTACGGGGTCTTCTCACAGTGGCAGATCACACACAGAGATGGGTCCTTGTCTCAGGTTGTCTTAGCTCACCTCCTGTCCTGGCAGGAACTGTGGCCTTGCCAAACTGGCAAACATTCAACCCAGTTCTTACTGTTGGGTGTTACAGCCTAGCCACACATGGTCCATGCCCTGACACTGCTCTCATGTGGTTCAGAGGGAGTTGAGACCTAGCCTAGCTTGTTTTATACCTACTGTGATTCTCATGAGCACCAGTGTATGTTGGAGTCTGAGCCAGTCTGGAGCACTGCAGACCCATTCCACGCATGCTGAGGGATGCTGTAGTCCTGTCTAGCCCACCATTCCCATTCCGGCTCTCACTCACCAGTGTGAACTGCAACCTAGCAGGGGCATCGGCAGAAATACAAATGCCAGAAATCTAGAATTAAACAGTGTGACTTCAGTTAAATTTATAGTTGTTTCTAAGCTGTTAGTGAGATTGGGCAAAGAATAATTATTGATAATAATAGCATCAACCTGAATAAGATTAAATGCCCTGAGCTTAATTTTTGTCTTTTACTGGATATGTCAATTTGGCTTCATTTTTGTCTCTTCATTCTTTGAGTATCATTTATCATAACATTATTTTATGTTGAGTTGCAGTGTTATTCCTAACTAACCTTACTCCAATTACTCATTAAAACTGTTTGATGTTTGTTTCCCCCGTTTTCAGGTCCAGCTCCTTTCCTTCTTTTGTGTAGTGTTCAACTTAACAGCGTTTTAGATTTCCCTGACTCAATCATTTTGCTTTGAGTGTGTGCTGTCAGTTCCATGAGGAAGTGACTACAAATGATTCTCCCAGTCACACTTTCTCTGCCTCCCTCCTCTGTTGAGATTCATACAGCTGATCTTTCACTTCCTTAAAAGTCGTGTTTCTTCACAGTGCAAACGATGCTTGAATATGCCAAGTTTCCTGGCTGGGGGATTGTAGCTGAGAAATATCACCGTCTGTTCATATCTTGCCTGAGAAATGCTTTCCACTTGGTTCTGGTAGTGGCTGCAAATGATCTTGGCTAGCGGGGCTGTGTGGCTGCCTTCCTTGATGCACAATGCCACAACAGGAAATGGGCATCATCTCTGCTGCTGAACACATCACTGAGCGATCCCCAAGCTTGGCTCTCCTGAGAGGATGATGCTCTTCTAAGTGTGTGTAATCAATGATTCTGTTTCCAAGAACCAGCAGGAAACACAGGAAAGTTTTGTTTTTCTGAAAGAGGATGTGTAAGATAATCAGAACCAGTACTTTCCAAGCCCCTACCATCTACAGTGTACTTGGCCCTTGGCAAATAGGGTCTGACAACAATACTTCAAAACAGGTTCATAGCACACTTTACAAGTGAGGAAACTCAGGTTCAGAGAATGTAACTTGTCCAACGTCTCACAACTGCTAAACATGAGTCATTTATCGGTACCTGAACTTCTCTGGTTCCCGTCCTTCTGGGACATGCTGAATAGGAAGGCACACCATGAAAGATTCTGATGGCAGTGGAGTTTGGTGGAAGAGAACCCATGAACATGTGAGTACACAAATGAGTACTTGTTCTTATTTTATAAATTGATATTTATACGGTAGCTTGTAGAAGAGAGAGAGATTGACGTCTATCTTCCAGTCATTGGTTCATTTTCCCAAATGCCTGCAGCAGTCGGGCCAGTAACTTCAATGGTCTCCCGTGTGGGTAGCAGAAAACGACTGCTTCACAACATGGGTGTTAGCAGGAAGCTGGCTCGGAAGCAGAGGTAGACCTTGAGTCCAAGTTCTTCGATATGCAAAGTGGGTGTCCCAAGAAGTGGCCTACTTGTACAACACCCAGGCAGAGTTTATCTTAGATACTCATTACCAAGCACGTACTTGAAAGTTGTTTTCAAATTATTGATGTCTGGCTCCCATCCTCACCACAGATCTTAGAATCATTGTATATGCAGTTAAGGGGGGGGGGGGAAGCATACATTTACTTTTTCATTATTCACTACACAATCATTTATTATTTACCTAACAAATATTAAGCACCTACTAAATAGTTCATTTTGACTTCAGAATAAACAAAGAGCCAGGGCTTGCCATTGGAAGTCATTGAACACTCCTTTAGTTAAATATTGCGTGCTTTACACTCAAGATCTTGTGAATTGGCTTCCACAGAAGGAACGGTGTGGAAGACCAGGAGCAACAGTTCTCCCACGGGAAATGAAGGACAAGATCAGAGAAGGAACACAGGGTACTGAGCCATGCACAGCTGCTTTTAGAGTCTCTCTCCATTTTGTTTTCTATCTTTCGTTTTGTTTGAAAGACTATGGCTAGAATAAAATGTTCTCTAAGAAGGAGATAAGAGCTACTCAATTTACAGAATTACTGTTGTGATTAAATATAAAATCTGTGTAAAATGTTTGATGAATGATAAGAAATTGGGTATGTCTTAGCTCATTTACCACAGTTAGTTTACTGCAGAATATCATCAAGGAAGGTGATGGTGGTAGATTTATTTTTCAGCTTTCTAAGCCATAATTCTCCCCTGTTTCAAGATACTTAAGGTAGCACTTCTTTTTTTAAAAAGTTATGACTTTAAATTTTTGCCCCTGAATTTGTGGAGATGCTTGTCAATTTCTGGACTTCCACACACTTGTCATCTGCACCTTGGCCCTCTGGTCATCTTCTTCATCTGCGTCCCTCCATATTATTATCTCAAAAATGACCACCCTCAGTGCATGCACACATGGCAGATAAATGCAATATGCCAAGGGTTTCTCCATTTTCCAAAAGGAGTTACATTGGTATGGCTTCAAGCTTTTATTTCAATCTGCACATAAATTGTAAATCATAAAATTGATTTCACATCTGGATTGTTTTGTAGTTGAGTTTCTTGGGCCCTTGTAGATTTTAGATATTAATCCTTTATCAATTGCAGGGTTTGTAAATATTTCCTCTGGTTCTGCCAGTTGTCTCTTCACTTTGTTGATGGTTTCCTTTGTAGTGCAGACACTCAGCTTGACGTAATCCCATTTATCTGTTTTTGCTTTACTTGCTTATTATTCTGGGGTCTTTTCCAAGAAGCCTGACTGTTACAATGTCTTGTAGAATGTTCATGATGTTTTCCTCTAGTAAATTGATAGGCCTTAGAATAGGTCCTTGATCCATTTTGAGTTGTTTTTGTCTAAGTTGTAAGGAATACTTAAAAAAAATCTATATTTATTATTATTGCAAAGGCAGAACTACAAAGAGAAGGAGAGATCAAAATATCCATCCACTGATTCTCTCCTCAAGTGGCCCCAATGGACACAACCAAGCCAAAATAAAACCGGGATCTCAGAGCATCTCCTGGATCTCCCACATGCCTACAGAGGCCCAAAACTTTGGGCCATCCACCGCTGCTTTCCCAGGACGTAAGGAGGGAGTTGGATGTGAAGTGGCGCAGCCTAGACACGAACATGCGAAAGGGGATTCTGGCATTTGCAAGGCAAGGATTTAGCCACTGAGCCATCATGCCAGGCTCTATATAATTTTTCATATGAAGATGTAATTTTCCTGGCAAAATATGTTAATGTTACTGTCCCCTTTCAAGAGACTAATGTAGCTTATTTCTCAAAAAGTATTTGGTTATAGAATGATTTTATGAATTGGTTATAGAATGATTGTATGAATTTGGTTATATGAATTGATTTCGGGATTTCTACTTGTTTCATTGGTCTACATGTCTATTTTTATACCATTATGGGATTTTTTTATTATATTACAGTTACATGTGGGAGTCTTGGGGATGTTTGTCCAGCAGACCATCTGAGCAAGATGAGGAGGTGGTCCAGCATCTTTACAGTGAATAACCGGAGACAATTCAGATGGACACATGTCCATTTATTGGCAATCAAGCACAAACTTATATAGGGTGAGGCAGGGAAGATGAATTTTGGAGTATCAACAGTAATTCCATAGGATATGAGTATATGTGATGTATTACAAGGCTAGCCAATCAGTCTAATGGTCATGTACATCGCTGGGCAGCACTGTGTATCCCACCCACGTCCTGAAGGGTAGGTGGTGGGGAGGAGGAAAGATCCCAACACCCAGAAGATCACAAATACCGGAAGAGGTAGAGTGAGACAAGGGACCCGGAGGGTCCTTGCAGCTGCCAGCCGTGCAGGCTGCAGCAGCTTACAGGCATTGTCAGGTCAGGAGGGGCCTCCGACCTCGGGGCTGTCTAGGCATATACTGAGGCAAGGGGTCCTCTAGGAGGGCACCGAGGCCATACTCCTGCCACCCTTCTCGCAGGCTCGGTAGGCAGAGACACAGCTGGGCACTCCCTTGCCCACAGGCATGTCCAGAAATCTGGAATTGTGACGCTTCTAGCTTTTTTTTCTTTTTTTTTAATGATTGCCTTAGCTACTTAGCATCTTCTGAGCTGCTATATGAATTTTAGCAACACATTCTCTAGATATACGCCAAGATGCTCTTCCTAGTTTGGTTGAAATATCATTCATTTCTAAATTACTTTGGATAGCACTTGTATTTTGATATTAATTCTTCTAATCCATAAGCATGGCAAATTCTTTCCATTTTTTTCTGTTTTCCTAACTTTATTTCTTTACTATTTTGTAATTTTAATGCCCACATTCTTAGATTTATTCTAAGATATTTACAGTTTTTCAGACACTGAATTGTGTGGTAGCCTAGTGGCTAAAGTCCTCACCTTGCATGCACAGGGATCCCATATGGGTGCCGCTTTAATACCAATAGTCCCGTTTCCTATCCAGCTCCCTGCTTGTGGCCTGGAAAAGCAATCAAGGACAGCCCAAAGCCTTGGGACCCTGTAGCCGCTTGGAAGACCCAGAAGAGGCTCCTGGCTCCTGGCTTCAGATCGGCACAGCTCTGGCCATTTCGGTCACTTGGGGAGTAAATCAGCAAATGGAAGATCTTCCTCTCTGTGTCTTCTCCTCTCTGTATATCTGGCTTTACAATAAAATTAAATAAATCTTTAAAAAAGTTCTTTCTCAGCCTGGAATTCTTTGATTCTATAAGTGCTACTGATGTTGGTGTGTAGGTTTTATATCCTGCAGCTCTACCAAACTTCCAGATGTATTCCAATAGACTCTTGGTGGAGTCTTCTGATTCCCTCAGAGAACCATGTCATCTGCAACAGGAATAGCATGACTTCCTCTTTTGAAATTTATATATTTTTTTTAAATTT